CCTGACCTGAGCCGAAGGCAGACGCTTAACGACTGAGCCACCCAGGCGCCCCGCATTTTGTTTCATTTTAAAGCATTTTATTAAGAGGAATTTAAAAATAAGTCTGTATATATTAAACATTAAATATTTAAGAAATATATTTCCAAATTGTTAAAACTATAACTTTATCTCAGAGCTACTTTAGTTGTAGTTATTTTTGGTATTTTAATATTCCATACATACTTTTATTGAGCAACACGATAGTAGAAAGAGGGCAGACCTAATGTGAGAGACCTAACAATAGTACCTTGGTACTATTAATTTTTTAGTTATATCAAAAAAATATATAAACATTTATGTAAAACCTAAAGAATTTTTTTTAAATGACTACCATTCACTTAAGTATAATTCTGTATTTTTAAAGCTGGAAGTAGTCTATAAGATCCTAATCTAAAACCTTTTTTCCCCACATTAGGAAACTGAAACTTAGAGAAGTGACTCAGCTTTTCCTAGGGCTTCAACCAAACACACACCTCGTTTCGCAGCTACAAGCCCCCTTACCACTAAACCCATTTTCTTCCTACTTTTCCTGCCATAGCTCCACCACAGATCAACTGTGTGATCTTAGGGGAGTACACATCTGAAAACAGAGCTAGATATTCTCTGCACAGCCCCTGTATAACCCTCGTAATCTGTGTGATGTTCGCCATCATTCTATAAATCTGGATTTGCAAGTCTTACATTTCAGACTTTTAAAAAAATTTTAGTGCCTGTCATTGGAGTAATTTATCTGTAGGTAAATGTCAAGCCCAGTGGTTTTCAAAGTGTAGTCCCCAAACCATTAGTATCTTGTTAGAAATGACAATTCTCAACCCCACCTCAGACCTGCTGATTCAGAAACTCGAGAGTAGAGCCCATCTTAGTTATTAGCAAGCCGTCCAGGTGTTTCTGATACAAGTGAACATTTGAGAACCACTGTTCTCCTGTACTCTGTAGTCCTGATCAGTGCTTCTCAACCACTGGTGATTTTGCTCTACCCCCACCCCCACCCCCGGTGTGCTTTTGGCAACATCTGGAGACGTTTTTGATTGTCAGGTCTGGGTGGGTGCTGCTGGCGTCTAGTAGGTAAAGGCTAGGGATGCTGGACACCACTGAGCATCCTGTGATTCATAGGACAGCCTTCTCCCACACCAGAGAGCCAGCCCCAAATGTCAGCAGTATGGAGGTCAAGAAACCCTGATTTAAGTCACTCAGAGACAAACAGGGCAAACTCTTCCTCTAAAGTTTTTTCCAGATGCTTTTATCAAAAACTATACCAAACAATAATTACTACCTACTGCATTTTAAAGTGCTATGTTGGAAGAAAAATTAACTTTTGGTTTTGACTATTAGATACCTGAAGGGATAATCAAATGTAATCCCTTGGCTAAAGTATGTCACATTTTTTTAACTTTTTACTTGGAAATAATTTAAAACTCACAAAAAGTTCCCAAAATACAAGAAACACTTGTATTCTCTTTACCCAGATTAGTTTATTGTTAACATTTTATCTCTTTTGCTTTATCATGTGCATACCTGTCTGCTCTGTTTTTTCTGAACCATTTGAGAGTAAGTTACACACCTCATGGCCCCTTATCCCTAACTACTTTAGTGTGTATTTCTTATACAGATATTACCTTACATAACTACAGTGTGATTACATTGGTGTAATATTTTAATCTATCCTCCATATTCCAGTTTTGTCAGTTTATCTAATGATAACCTTTATAGAGTTTTTTTCTCCTTTCCCACTAAAATTATTCTACAAAGGAATAACCTTTAAAGACAAACTCACAGAGATGATAAGAACAAGAACTCAGTATTCTTGGCACCTGGGGATAACTCCTAGAATACCATGGGTTCTCAGGAAAGACTTGCAGAAAAGATGAGAAGTATTGGGAGCAAGAATGGGAATTGGAAAGCAGACTGATGGAGGTGATAGTCGAGCAGACCCAGGAGGTGGCTGACAGAAGAGCTTCACGAAAAGTTCCCCAGCAGGCTTTCTCTCACATGCAACCCTAGTTAAAGGGGTGGTGTGGGGTCTAGGGGTGCCTTAGCAAATTCTGATTTATGTCTGAGGCTGGACATATTGCTGCCAGAACATAAACAGATTTTGTTAGCAAAAAATAAGGGGAACGAAGGCTTCTTCAGTAGGTAACATTGTGTCTAATACACAGGTATCAACAGATCTTCCTCCTACATACTTTCTCAGGAGGCTACTGGAGGATGTCCTAGAGCCTAAACCAAGGAGGAAGGGACTAACATGGGAGAGAGATGGTGGAGGATAGGAGTTGTGCAGCAGGCCCGGCAAACAGTCTGTGTCAGTGCTGTTCAGTCTCATAGCCATTAACCTCATGTGGCTGTGGAGGACTTGTGATGTTGCTAGTATACCTGAGGAATGGAACCTTAAATTTTATTTAATTTAAATGAAACCCTGAAACAGTATGAATACCTTTACATTAAATAGAACCTTACTATTAAGTAAATTAAAATTACTAAACAAATGCATTGTTAAATGTTTAATGCATAAACAAAACATTAGAATTTTACACAAAACATGTAAAAGACTTTTAATGTGCCCACTAGAAAATTTAAAATTACATATTTGACTCACATTTCTACTAGACATCGCTGATAGAGATGATAGAAGGAGGATGGAAAACGCCATGAGGAATCATTCATTCAGAGATTTACTAAATGCCTGCTGTGTTCAGGCATCATACTAGGTGCTTGAGTGGGCAAGATGGAACAAGATTTTTGCCCTTGTAGGGTTAATATTTTTGTGTGGAGAGAAAGACAACAAACTGTATAATAAATAGATGGTACATTATAAAGTAACAAAGGGGAAAAAGGAGAAGGTGCTGGTGAGGAGGAGTGTGAAGGGAGGGGCAAATTGCAATTTCAAATGAAATGGTGAGGATAGGCCTCACTGGGAAGGTAAGCTTTGAGCAAAGAATTAATGGCCATGAGGTAGTTAGCCATATATAAATCTAGGGAAAGCATGCCTGTTCCAGATAAAGGGAGGAACCAATGCAAAGGAACTAAGTCAAGGGTGCACCTGAAACTTGTTCGAGGAACATCAAGGAGACCAGTGAGTGAGGGAGAGAATAGTGGGAGATGAGGGCAGAGACATAATGGGAGTCATGTAGGCCACTGTAAAAATGTTATCTTTTACTCTGAGTGAAATGGGGAACCACTGCAAGGTTTTGGTTAGAGGATGGACATGACCTGGCTTAAGAGGATCATTTTGAGGACCATGTTGAGAATACAGTGTACATCGCAAGACAAAGATAGAAGCAGGGAGAGCAGCTAGAACGTAATCCAGGTAAGGGACGGTAGCCACAGAGGGCGCAAGAGATGGTTATATCCTAGATAGAGTTTGAAGGAAGATCCAGCAAGATTTGCTGGTGGATTGGATATAGTAGAGTCTGAGAGAAAGAGTAGACCCTGACCTGAGATTCCTGACTGAGCAACTGGAATAATGGAGTTGTCATTAACTGAGACAGGGAAGACTAAGGATGGAACAGCTTTGGGGAAGGGGTAGATTGGGAGTTTGGTTTTGTACATATTGAGTCTGTTAATCATTTCAGAGGAGAGAGAAAGTTGGCAGGTGGATATACAAGTCTGTGGGTCAAGGGAGAGGTCTGGCTGGAGATAAATATTTGGTAGTATTCAGCATATAGAAGGTATTTAAACTGTGAGACACGGGATGAGTTCCCTTGAGGGAGTACAGAGAGAGAATAGAGGACCAAGGATTTTGCCTTGGAGCATTCCCACGTTGAGAGATCAGAGTGAGGAGAAAGAACCAGCAAAGGAAGCTGAAAAGGCTCAGTCAGTGAAATAGAAGGAAAATCCAGGAGTGTGGTTTGGAAGCCAAGTAAAGAATGTGTATCAAAAAAAGAGAGTGATCAACTGTGTCAGATGTTGTTCCTGGAGTCAAGTAAAGTGAAGATAATTGATGGTTGGATTTAACAAGATGAAGGTCATCAGCCTTGACAAGAGCACTTCAGTAGAATCATGAGGCAAAAACCCAATTGGATTGTTTCAAGAGGGAAAGGGAGAAAGAATAATTAGAAACAGTGAGTATAGACAACTCCTTCAAAGTTTTGCCACAAATGGAAGCAAAGAAATGGGATAGTAGCTGTTAGGGGAAATACAGTCAAGAAGGTTTCTGTTGTATTTGATACAAGCCAAAAAAAATGGCATGTTTGAAGGGAATGGTCCAGTAGAGAACAGGTTAGTAATGTAGGAGAGTGGAGTGGAGGGGGGATTGGTGAAACAATGTTCTTGGTAGATGAGAGGGAATGGAATCTCATAGAGTGAGAGAGGAGACTGGCTTTATATAGGAGCACTGACAGATCATCTGTAGCAACAGGCAGGAGGGCAGAGTATATGTGGGTGCATGCGCTGTAGGCACATATGGTGGTCAGAGTCTGTGGAAGTTCTTCATTGAGGAGAAAATGTTTATCAGCCAAGAGTAAGGATTGAAAGAGGGGATGTAATGGTTTGAGGAGAGAAAAATTTGTGCTATCCAGGAATGTGAGAGAATAAATTGACTGGAGAAGTATAGTAGGATTCCTAGCGACTTTAAAGGCACATCGGGGTTGTAGTTAGGAATTTGTAGGGGGTGTGGTTGTGTTTTTTCTAGCCATGGACGCAGGTTAATGAAGAATTGGATTTAGCCAGTTTTGTGGTTGTAGCAAATAATTTTGAGCAAGTGAGAGAGGGACAAACAAGGGAATTGAAGGTACGTTGCAAGGGTGGGGTTTTAATGACTGACCTTGGAGTAAATCCGTCCTAAACTGGATAGAAGGAGAGGACATCAGTTTGGTGAGGAATGCCTCAGAGGAACAGAAATGAACCTGGTCAATTCCTGATCTGTTTGAGAACAGTGAGAACAAATTCTTTTAAAGAATTTGGGAATAGGTACATAGAAAATGAAGAAAAGGAAGCAATCACTAACACTACAGAAAGAAAAAAGTTGAATGAGGGGATGTCTATAATCAGAGTACACTATAAATATTTTCATAATTATAACCATGTAAACACCTCTTATTAAACCAAAAAATGGTAATAAAAGTATATCAGGAAGATGAGAGTATAGTATACATTGGGAAGAAAGGGGGCTGGCAAGATGATATCAGAGAACCAAATCTTTATTTTCCATAAAAGGAAGTCCAAAGAATCTAGACAGGAGAAAAGGCATGGCTACCAGAAGAAACAGGTTGGATTTGAAAGTGGCTGCCTCTGGGGTTGTAAGAATTAGGAATGGGGAAGGTGGGGCATGAAAATGTTGTATTTTAATAAAAGTTTTGTGGAGAAGTTTGATCTGTAAATTTATGTGTGTGTGTATTACTCTGATTAAAAAATATTAAAAATACTTCTCTTAAGTACTACTATTAAATAGTCTGGGGGAAAACTTTGTGAATGAGTCAGTATTTGAATTAAGTCTTGAAGAATAAGGTAACATTGATTGGGTTGGAGAGCAAGAAAAGAGTATATGAGCCAGGATGAAGAGCATGAGGGAGAAAAACAGATTGGAAGTGACAAGGCATTCTTAGGGATAATTGAATAAGGCAGTTGGCTAGAGAAGAAAGACAACAATACCAGTTACAGTTTTAGGTTGGACTCAAGTTATATAAACACTCAAAGCCAGGTGGTGGGAAGAAATTAGTTACTGAGCAGGCAGATAGTGATCAAATTAGTGCTTAAGGAAGATGTACTATGAGCATGTCAGCTTAAAGGGAGGGAGCTCTGTACTGTCCTGTCAGTAGGGTGGCAGTTGGTGGAGTGGAAGCATGGAGGTGTGGGAAGACAAGGTGGGAGAAACATGGAGAAGGTGTGGTCAGTGGGGCTGGGTGAGTAAATGTGTGAATTGAGAGGGGGGTGGGGGAAGGCTCAGATAATTCTTGCATTTTGAGTCTATTTGGGAGAGAGATGGTATCATTTCTAAGTTTGATTTTTTAAAAAGTAAGACACAGAGGTATTCAGTATTTTGTTGAAGGATAGATGAGACAGTCTTGACAGTGATGAGCAAAAGGAGGTGCTTGAGATCTTCAGTATCGGTTAGAAACACAGAACTTGAGCTCAGCAGAGAGGTGTAATGTATATGTATGTGTGTGTACACCTGTAATCTGCCTGTATGTTAGTCTTCAAGCCATAAATGTGGATGTGGTCATCCGGGCAGGGCAACCTGTAGAAGAGGTCAGAGAGTGCAGAGTGCACAGCAATGGGGAACACCCAAATTTTGAGGTAGTTGGAAAAAGAAAATTACTTTAGGGACAAAGAAAAGTAGAAAACCGGGAAGGGGAATTTTCAAGGGGCAGTGTTAGACAACAATGTCAAACTGCTATAGAGCAATATAGGAGAAAAATTACTTTTAAAAATCATCTACAGGGCGCCTGGGTGGCTCAGTCGTTAAGCATCTGCCTTCGGCTCAGGTCATGATCCCAGGGTCCTGGGATCGAGCCTCGCATCGGGCTCTCTGCTCAGCTGGAAGCCTGCTTCTTCCTCTCCTACTCGCCCTGCTTGTGTTCGCTCTCTCTCTGTGTCCCTCTCTATCAAATAAATAAATTAATTTTTAAAAAATCATCTACAATTTTTAAACTGTAATTCTAAAACAAGAATTTAAACCTGTTCAATGTGGAAGTTACAATCATTTCAGTAGAGTAAAAGAAGCAAAGCCCAGAGTGTGTGGCAGAAATAAGGTCGATCATGCTTTCAGACTTTTCTAGTTGGAAGAAAAGATTGAGAAGCTGCTAACAGCTTGAAAAGACAATAGGTTCAGCAAAGGTTTTGGGGGTTTTTAGATGTGAGAAAGTTGTACGTGTTTGTATTCTAGAAGAGTAATGCTGCTGAGCCCGGTGAGGGGGATGGGGAGAGAAAAGGGCTGTGGGAGCAGGAGGAGACTGAAGGACGAGCCACGGAAAGGTGGTGTTTCACTCCTCCATGGCCGGAAAAGGAAATGGGGGGGGCGGGGGGGAATGTAAATCAATATTTACATTTCTTATCTCAGAAGATAGAATGATTCAAAGGCCTAAATTGGGGGCGCCTGGGTGGCTCAGTTGTTAAGCGTCTGCCTTTGGCTCAGGTCATGATCCTAGGGCCCTGGGATCAAGCCCCACATCGAGCCCCACATCGAGCCCCACATCGAGCCCACATCGAGCTCCCTCGGGGGCAAGCCTGCTTCTCCCTCTCCCACTCCCGCTGCTTGTGTTCCCGCTCTCGCTATCTCTGTCAAATAAATAAATAAAATCTTTAAAAAAAAAAAAAAAGGTCTAAACTGCTCAGAAGAAAGGAATGGACATTATTTCCTTTACAGGATAGAGCCAGAGTGATGGTAGAGAGTTTGAGAGCAGGTGTATCAGCTATTGCTGCATAACAGACCAGCCCTAAATTTCATGTTTAAAACGGTAATAAAAGTGTTTGTTATTCCTCACACGTCTGTGTGGTTCACAGACCTAGGTGATTCTTGGGGTCTTGGCTGGGCTCACTCAGGAGACCCCAGTGGATGAATGAGTCTAAGGCGGCCTCAGCAGGGCAGCCTGGCACGTCCATGGTGTCCCATCCTCCAGACTCGTTCTCAGGGTGACAGGATTCTAGGAGCGAGTGCACAGAATTGTGGGAGGCCTCGTAAGGCTTTGGCTCTGAGCAAAGCATGGTGTCACCAGTGCCACATTCTGTTGGCCTAAGCACGTTTCAAGGCTAGCCCGTGTACGTCCTCGAGGTGAGGAAATAGATGCCATCCTTGAATTGCGGGAGGAATTTCAAAGTCCTGTTCAAATAGCAGAGATGTAGAGAGAGCTGGGGCCTGGGACCATTTTTGTCATCAATCTGCCCTGCAGCAAAGGCTAGAAATGGGTACGCTCTGCATGCAGAGTTTGGTGTAGTAGATGTGCTAAAATTGTCTACGTCCTGTATTTTGTAATACATGTAAGATACATTCTCTAACTGCTTAAATAGTGGATTTTGGTATCTTCATTGTCAGTATATTCTCTTTTTTCCCCTTTGGAAGGTTGGATAATACATTAGAGGAAATTATATTTAAGCTGGTCCCTGGACTACGAGAACGTAAGTTGCTTTTTGGCTTCTTGCAGATTTTTGTGGTCTATGAAGTCAACATTTCTATTAAAGATTTCATGATTATTTCTATTATATTTCTTTTTTCTTTTAAATTAGAGGAACTTGAGCGTGAATCTGAATTTTGGAAGAAAAATAAGCCTCAAGAAAATGGACAAGGTGACTTTTATGTCTGTATCTGATAAAATCTCTCAAAGTGGCTAGCTTTTTGTAGCTTTGGTGAAGTAATCTCTGTTTAAGCTCAGATTTCTCCAGTACAAAATTCATGTAGCCCTTCATTTCCATTATGATCCTTTTGTATAAAACCATGAGATATTATATACATGTGTGTAAATCTGGAGTCAACACCAATGAAGGCAATTGGAAGTAGAGAAAATTGGACTTTGGGAAGAGAAAAAGGAGATAAAACTGGAAACTGATGACTGATTATAGCAGTATTTGCTGGAGAGCTAAAGGAAACTGAAGAAATAGCCATAGTCTGCATCTAAACACTGAGGGGTTTTCTATTTTATCTTATTTTGTATGTTTGTTTTATTGGGGAAGGAGCCAAGAGGTTGCTGAGTGCCAGATCAGGGGATCTGTCTATGCTCTGATAATCTGGAATTACATGTTTATAGGTGGAACTCAGATGATACAAATTTATATATCCTGAGATATGAAAAATACTTCCAGTTGCTTATGGGAATTTTCCCCATCACTTACACAGAGTGTCCACATTTCTCTTCTGGGTCCCAGGAGACTCTGCCATCAGTAGTTTTTAATAATAATCTCAGCAAAGTGACAAACATTACTGGACAGAGAAAAGGCTTTTTAGTATGTATAAGTCACACAACGGGAAAAAAAAAAACATAACATACCTGAAATTAAAAGGAATAGTATGCTTTTCCCACTGTTATTTAATATGAGATTTATTTCAGGATAGCCTAAATACCATTGAAATCTTTTAATGATGTATGCGTGTTTTTATAGGCTCATTGTGAGCTTAAGATCATAGGATTAAGATAGGTGAGGAAGTCCTGTCTTTCTCATTTCATCTATATTTTATTAGTTCAACTTAACTGTTCAAGGCTGGCTTCCAATAGCAGGGGAGGTTTGAGAATAGTTTCAATTACTGGAATAAGGTAGGTAGGGATTATTTTTTATCTGTAACAACAAAATGAGCAAAGAAGCCCAAGCTTGACCAAAAAATGACTCCACTAAAGTATAAATATTATAAAGTTGACTAAATGTTCAAATTTTTGACTATCTTGAACAGGAAACCAAGGGATTGTCATCAGAAGGTATATAGTTTAGTCCAGGACTCAGTGTATCTTACAGACTCATGAAAGACCACAGCCTACTTTGTGTGTATCTCCTTTTACCCATATTTCTCCCTTTTTAAAGTATTTTATAATGTTTTGTCTTGAGTTTGGGTAGAGAATGTGAATCTTTTCTTGGTGCTGGGAGTTTGGTTCATAAAAGGCAGCTCCTGTCTATGTGGATTCCACATAAATAGATAGAAGAAAGAATGCAGAAGAAAGAGAACCCACCTGCCCTTTATGATACAACTGTATTGCTTTTATTAGGCAGTAAAGAGGGGCTAACCTGTTATTTTTTTTCCTGGGATTTTCTATACCTTTCCCTGAATCTCTGCTTCACCCCAAGTTTGGATACCTCTCTTATAGGTGCCCACGTAGTCTATTTTTACCTCTTCCATCAGAGTCCTTATCATACTTCTCCATCTGTTTTCTTTACTTGCCTGTATCTCTTCCTGTACCCTGACCACTGTGAGGGTGAGGATGAGAACACTCTGGTTTCAGTATTCCCCTAAGCCTAGCACAATGCATATCAAACACAGAGTGAAAGGGACTCTGTAAAGAAATGAATTGGCACATGCGTTGTATTATATGTAGGCTGCAGGTATTTCATAGGTTAAATACATTTGTATGAAACAAAGTATGCGATTGATTTCTTTACTGGATTTTTAACATTACATGGCTACATACATGTTTTAAAAAGCTAATTCATTCTACTCATATTTCACTAGCTGGTTTTATGAGTATCTAATAATTTGAAATTTTGAGAACTCAAAGACTATACTTTGAAAAGACTGCTTGGTTTCAAATTTGAATATATATAGAATTTGGAATATTTTTATATCCCATCTACTTTCTAAGTGGTCTAATCATTAATTGCAATCATTTTTGTGGCCAGATATAGGTAGTTCTGAATCTTTCATTTGGATATCCCAGTGAGCCGAGTAATTTTAGGTTATGTTAATAAGTCACTGATGGCTTTTTAAAAATATTTCCATTGTTGAGTTGGTTGGAACATTTTAAAAATATTAAAATTTTCAGTTATTCTTCATCAAAACAAAAATGTTTAAAAAGCATTTCTTGGTTTTTTAAACATTTTTGTTTTGATGATTTTTGTCTTGATTAATACACTGTTGCTTAACTTTAAAATCAACTTGGAGTTACATCTAACTTGGTTTGTTTAAAATATACAGATGATACTTCAAAAGTTGACAAACCTAAAGTAGATGAAGAAGGTGATGAAAATCAAGATGATAAAGACTATCACAGAAGTGACCCACAAATTGCTATATGTCTAGATTGTTTACGAAATAATGGACAATCAGGGGACAATGTAGTAAAGGTGAGTGGACAAGCACAGTTTTATTTTTATAATCATTTTATAGTAAATCTTTGATAATTTGTTGATGAATTTGGCTAGTGCTTGCTTTCAAAATTTTTATTAACATCATCAAGTAGAATACCATTCTCTGACAGCCCCATAGCAACAAATGACCAAACAATTGCTTACTCCAGGCACCTGATTTCCAGCCCCCACAACTGAACAGTCCTGGGCCAATGCCACCACCTAGTGGCTAATTCCAAGAATCACGCTTCTATTTCTCTGTTACCTCCTTTTATACCTTTGTTGGGAGTTCATATACATTGTTTCTCCCTTTTTACGTGTGGTAACCAATTCAGACTCACATCATTACATCACATGATGGGCAGTGTCTCCAACTCTTTCATTCATCCTCTCCTCATTTTCTCCTTTATTTCTCTATTTTTATTTGCAACTCAAAAAACCATCCATGTTATGGCTAATACATTTTATAAATAATATAATTGGTTTTGAAGTAAAATTGGGTGTCCTAAAGTGCCTGTGAACTTTGAAAGTCCTTAAAGGCTCCCAGATATTTCCTGTAGAATCTCCATTTCTAATCCTGTTTTCCCCTGTATCTACCTGCTAATTCGACCTTTTTGTGAAGGATCTATATACTAGAGAGTTTAAAACATCCTATTCACTTTTATTTATTTTCTTTGGTCTTTAAATGGTGTTATTTAGGTAATGATTTCTGCTTTTTTATTGCAAGCAACTTCCCTTTTCATTATAAATGTTCACTACTTTATCTCTTAAATAGATTTTTGTCAATGATTGAGAAGATTGTTTTTATACTCCATGTTTTATGCAAGTACCTATATTCAGTGTCTCTTTTTCTCTTTTACTTCCTCTGTATAAATCTGTGAATGGGTTGAATTTTTCACTAATACCTTAAATGATATTTTCCTATTAGGAAATTAAAAGCAGATACTTTTTCAACTCCGATTAGTTTTCCCAGCATCTTACAACAAAGATATAGGAGCATAGTGACTCAGTTAAGAGATAAGAAGAAAAAAATTCTTCACTCAAGGAATTTTAGTTAGGACTTTCACATATAAACAAACACTTATAATAGAATGATTTAGTTAAGAGGGGTTGGTTGGACTAGGCATGTAATCATCTGCGGCAATCTTTAGAGAAGTGGCCATGGGACCTATTTATCCTTCCATGTTTCTCTTGGTTTTTATGCTTTGGTGCAGCACCCTTTCCTTTTTGTAAGTCTTTTTTCAGGGTTTTTAAAAACCTTATGCCAATCATTTCTATAATCCTCTTTTTAAGAGATTCATCTTAATGGAGATTGTGATCATCCTTTAGCTGATAGGAGTTACTATCTTGTAAATTGTGTCTTGTATCTTGAAAATTAAGTCAGTAGAAAAGCTGAAGATCTTTCATAAATAAATGTGAAGTCTACTTTTGGATTTCTAGTATGAAAGTTATAAAGCATTGAATTTTAGAGATTCATCTGAAAAATTAACCCCTTGCCTTGATATTCTCTTGACATCTTTGACACTTCACCATCCCAGTTGACCTTGTATCCATTCACTTTCCTTTTTAGACTTTTCTTCATCCTTGTGCCTTCTATTCATAAAACAACTTTCATAGCTTATGTGAATTCTGCTTTGCTTCCCTGATTCCCACCTTTTTTCTCTGGCTATTCCTATACTGTCTTTACTTCTTCCTGGCTTTTGTTTGATATATGTGAGTACCTCCTAATACCTTGTCTTCCACTCAATATTTCTTTCTCTGGATTTATCCTAGGAGGTCACTTCTATTTTTTGTGACTTCAGTTCTGCAAAGAACTTTTAAATCCCCATTTCCAACCCTGCCATCTCTCCCAAGTTGAAGAATTAAGTCTCTAACTACTTTTAAATACCTCAGTTGGAAGTTTTACTAACACCTGAAACTTAACATGTTTAAAGACAAATTCATTATACTTTACTTTCACCTAACTTTACTCCAAACTTGCTATTTCGGTTATCACTACCATCTTTGTACCAGTCATACAAGTTCAAAACCTTGGAGTCATCTCTGACCTTTTACTGTTTTCCTTCAACCAGCCATAAGTCCTGAAAACTTTCCCTCAGTCTAGTGCTGCTCACCTTGTATAGATTTTTTTTTTTTTTTAAGATTTTATTTATTTATTTGAGAGAGAATGAGAGACAGAGAGCATGAGAGGGAGGAGGGTCAGAGGGAGAAGCAGACTC